AATCTATGTCTATACTATTGGATGTATCACTTTCCTTGGATCCGTCCTACATGATTTAATTTTTAGTACCTGGAGTTTTCACTCTTGTTATCTTCCTGTTCAAGGATAAAATCTCTAGCTTCTTAGCTTATATAAGACCTTTAAAAGGCAGGACTTATGTTATCTTTTAAGACTTTCCCCTAACTGTTCTCCCCGAATCCCTCATTTTGGTACCACTGGTCTGATCCCTGTCTTACAGAAATGTCTTGCTTCATACCTGAGCTCACATTATTATTTCTAATCTTTGCCCTTGTTACTCCAGTTTTCTTTTATTCACTCAGCTTTCAAAGTCCTGGTTAAAGGCTACCTCTGCCAAGCTTATGCTAGCTTTTCTGACATCCCCCAACATTTTTCATGTGCTTTCTGTGTTGCTCTCTTTCTCTTTTCACATTTGTAAATATTTCTTCCTCAAATAGGATTTGAGCTCTTTGAGTAAAGAATAAGAATCTGATTCATCTATAGCTCCAGTGCCAGACAAATAAATTCATTCATTAATTAAATTAACAGACATTTTTATTGAGTACCTATCGTGTGTAGGCCTTGGGATTATAAATGATAAGTATTTCTACTCTTAAGCATTTGAGAGTTTAGTTTGGGATATAGGCAAGGAGACAGGGAGAGTACCATGTGATGAATGTTTGACAACGGTATGTACATGCTGTGGAGTGGTGTTTTAAGGATATATAACTTGAACTGTAGGATATAGAGCAAGAGTTGCCTTTAAGGACTAATGGAAAGTATGCTTATGATCTAAATTGATGCACAGAAAGTTGGAAGTCATTTTTAGACAAGTAGTAGCTTGGTTAAGAGGGAGCAGAAGTAAAACCTAGGAAAAAAAACGGTGAATTTCTGGCAGAAAAGTAATGCAAAATGACCTCAGAATAATAGAAAACTGGTACTACTGTCATAGACATTACTGGAAATCTGATTAATGTCTTAAATGAAGATATATTTAGATGACTTTATGCTTAATTTTTATAAACTTTTAAAAATCAGATAATTCCAATGTAGTTATTGCGTAACCTAGACAGTAGAGGAGGTTGGAGAAAGCCCTCCTATCACAACCTAATTATGATAAGTAAAACAAGCAGAGAAAATACAATAAAATGGTCTTTCTTATGATTATATGTACACAAATTATAAATAAAATAGCATAGTTTATTTGTTAATATATCAAAACACAACTGTAACAAAGAATTTATTCTAGGAATGGAAAGATTGTTCAATATCTGGAACTTTATCAACATATTTTATTACATCATCAAATTAAGGGAGGGAAAAAGATGATTATTTGAGTGGTTGTTAAAGAGGGCACTAGAGCTGTCACTAGATAGGATTTATTCCACAAATGCAAAGATGGTTCAATATCTGGAAATCTATCAGCATGCTCTATTACATCACCAAATTAAGGGAAGATAAAAGAGATAATTGTCTTAGTGGTTGCTGTAGCAATTCTAGAAAGATATGAGTAACTAAGAAAGAGTAATGTTCATTCGTTCACCCATTTCTGTGTCAGATATTTGTGTAAGGGCTTCTTGCCTAGGGATCATGCCAGTGGAGTTTCCAGCTTGTTGAGACATGTAGGCAGGTGAATTAAATGACTTCCTTGTGGACTGTAATAAGTATGCAGAAAGTACTAAAGAGCCGAGAAAAAGGAATTAAGCTACTCTTCTTTGGAAGAGTTAGAGAAATGTTCACAGAGTTAGAGACATTTGAGCTGGGACAATATAAAAATGTAGGGCTTGGTAGAAAGTGAAGAGAGGGAAATGACATTGTTGATAGTGAACACAGCATGAGCAAGGGCTCAGAATCATAAAAGTTTATTATAAATCCTGGGAATGGTGTCACTGGGTCACTGCCGACACGTAGAAGAATGGCAAGAGAAGATGCTGAAAAGGTCATCTGCAAACAAATGATTAGTCAGAACATGGGCCTCTCAGGAGGAGCAGGAGGAGGTGCTTCTTCATGGAGGGAAGTGTCCAGGTAATTTATGACGCTGGGCATAACTGAAATGACTGTGGAACCAATGATTTGCATATGATGCTTAAATTTTATTTATACTCTCCCAGAACTTGCCTATTTCTTTATGTTGTATCTGAAAAGCCAAGATGATAAAGTCAGTAACTTGAGATTGCTGCGAAAATGTGAATCTTTGCTTAAGAAACGACTGCATCCTGTATTAACCAATTTTAAAATCTTTCATTGTAAAATAACCTTAGATTTATAGAGACCATCCAAGGACAGTATTAAGCCATTTAAAAAATTATAATTAAAACGTATACTACAAATGTGCACAGTGCATTAAAAGTTTCAAACCTTTACTTGATTCCTTTATTTCACACTTATATTCACTTTAGTCGTACTGAAAGCAAACTGGTCACTTTTATCCCAATTTAGTAGAAGACCAAACCTCAATTAAAAGCAAAAGCAAAACCAAAATTGGCATCTCTCAACCCTGTGAGATGGGTTTGGTTTTGGTATTTAGAAAAAAAATCATCTCAAGTTATTCCAAATGTGCAGCTAAATTTAAGAACCATGAGTAAAACACACATTCATTGGTTGTTTTTCTATATTGGTTTTGTGCTAATCCTTAATGGTAGCTTATAAATGTGTAAAATATGGTACTTGCCCTTTTAAGGAACTCACAGTTTAGCAAGCATATGTGTATCTTTGTGTGTGTGTGTGTGTGTGTGTGTGTGTGTGTGTGTGTGTTTGTATACATGTATGTATTTGTGTATACATATGAATATGTAAAAGATACAACTGAAGGAAAAGAAAAGAAAGATCCTGTAACCAGAGCGAAAAGCCAATACCATCACTGGCTTCAACAGCATGTGTCCTGATTCCCAGTTTAGAGTCTTTGTCATTGATTCATGTTATCCTCTTAAGAAAACTGCACATCAAGCTGTTCTTCCAAGCAAGATGGTCACAAAATTGCCATTGACTTTCTATAAGAATAGAGGCATCCTTTTTTCTCACTTTGCATAGCACTTTGTACTATACAAAGTACTTTAATATCATCTCATTGGTTGCCATAAAAATTCTGAGAGCTAAGGAAGACAGAGTTTTGTTTGTTTTTTGAGACAAGGCCTCCCTCTGTCACCCAGGCTGGAGTGCAGTGGTGCAATCACAGCTTACTGCAGCCTCTGTCTCCCAGACTCAAGTGATCCTCCAACCTCAGCCTCCTGAGTAGCTGGAACAATAGGTGTGCACCACCACATCAAGCTAATTTTTAAATTTTTTTGTAGAGATAGAGTCTCAATCTATTGTCTAAGCTGGTCTTGAACTCCTGGCCTCAAGTGATCCTTCAGCCTTGGCCTCCAAAGTGCTGGGATTAGAGGTGTGAGCCACTCTGTTTGGCTGAGTTCTCTGAGAGTGTGAAATGATCTGGGGCTCTAGAGGAGATGCTCTTCAAAGTCATGCCACTTGGTGGTATGGACTGATGTTAATATCCAGGCACGCTGTTTCCCAGCCCTCCCTACCACCCTGTCTCCTTGTTACTATGCCATGTACTGAGGCCTTTGATTTTTTTGTGTTCCGATGCTCTTTGTCTTTACAGGCATCTGGAAGTAATCATGTAGCCCTCTTAATTAATTCAGTTCAATTAATAAATTAGTAGGTGGCTTTGGGGCTGGGGGCTGGTGCAGGGTACCTTCCGGGTGTGCTGGAGAGCTCTTGCAATCAGGCTTGGAGAGCCCTCCTCAGCAGCAGCCTGCGAGGCTCATCCCCAGCAGCAGGCTGACTGGAGAGGTGATTGGCTTATGCTGACAGAGGAGACATTTCCTTTCTTCAAATAGTATATGCAATCTGATCAGAGCAGCATCTGGGCTGGGCTGGGCTGGGCTGGGCTGATCTGATTGTTCCCCTCCTACTTTAACTAAGCTCTTCATGAAGATCCAATATGGTATCAGCTCAGCATAGATGTTCATGGGCATTTCATTGTTGTTCAGGGCTGACCTTTGCATTACATGTGTTGAATATTCTATCCTCTGGCCCTAAGTTCTAATAACTGTCCCAGACAGTGTGGCAACCTGTGTGCCCCTCCTCCCCTTTTCCACATGCCCCTTGGTGGAGACCAGAGCTGCTCCTGTGGATGGGTCATTTAAAAGTGTCCTGCTAGGTATCTGTTAAGCCCGTGTTTTGAAAATAAACTTTCAGTGGTTCCTTAATGCCTGAAGAATAAGTTTAAACTCAAGTGTGGCTGCTAAGCTGTCTGTGCTTTGGTTTGAACCCAGCTTTTAGTTCTTTTGCTTGGTACTTTCTGTTATCCCCCCTGCAAGAACACTAAACCTAAGTGCTGTGAACTTTCCTGCCTGTATAATTTTGCTAACGATTTTCAGGCTCAAACCCTACTCAGCACTCAAACCCAGTCTGTATATCACCTCATCAATGAAATCTTGTTAATTCTGCCCCCCACCAAGAAGTGAGCCTATCTTTTTCTGCATGTCTGCCACACTTGTTTTTAACCTCACTTAGGTAACTTAGCACTTCATTTAGGTATAACCATTTAATTGGTGAGATAATTACTTTAATAGATTATTAATAAAATTGAAGCTCTTTTCCGTCTTCCTACTGTAGAACCTCCTTCAAGTTACGAAGCATTCCTTATTCATACCTGTTTCCCAAGAGTGGTAGGTACTAAAATAGGTCACTATTGGAAGGGAGATATTCAAGTTTGGGGCAATGTTCTCTTCCTTCTCCTCCTCCTCCCCCTCCCTCTTCCTCTTTCTCTTTTTCTCTTTCTCCTTTTCCTCCCCTTCCTCCCCTTCCTCCTCCTCTTCCTGCTGGCGATTCCTCTGCTTCTTCATTTTTCCTTCTTCCATTTTCTGTCGTCCTTCTTTCCAGAGAGCTTTATCAAGATTCGTTTAGTATGGATTAAGATAAAATAGTAATGAAGTGAGGTGTATTTTCTCCATTTCCATGCTTCTATACAAACAATGTTTGTTTCCTTTTAATCGCAGATTCCAACCATGTCTCACCCATCTTGGCTGCCACCCAAAAGCACTGGTGAGCCCCTCGGCCATGTGCCTGCGCGGATGGAGACCACCCATTCCTTTGGAAACCCCAGCATTTCAGTGTCTACACAACAGCCACCCAAAAAGTTTGCACCAGTAGTTGCTCCAAAACCTAAGTACAACCCATACAAGCAACCTGGAAGTGAGGGTAAGTGCTGGGATTTCAGAGGTGGGTACTTGGAATAGGAAAGTTCAATATTATATAGGTGATTTATAGTACAATGTCGTGTCAGAAAAAGGTACTTTATGAATTCACAGTATGGTTATCATAGTTTATAGGCTACTAAAAGTCAAGCAGCCCCTGGAAATGGTCTAGACCAGTCCCTTCTTTTAGGAAAAAGACTTTTTTGGACTATATGGCTATGGTTACATAGTGAAATAGGGTTAGAGCCCAACTAGAAATCTGGCCTCTTCAGTCACAGCTCAGTGCCCTTCTACTGTGTTATCTTCCACCTCCAGCTCATTCGCTTGTAAGGTTGTATCTACCAGACAATGGTCCCTCCCTCTTGCCCTTAGACAAATGTCTGCAAATGCTGCCAAGCAGTAGTCCAATCAGAAACTTACACAAAGTAAACCTAATGCAGTGCATGGAATCGTTTTACCTCCTCTGGCTGTTTTTCGTCCCTTAGGCTGCTGAAGGATAAAGTTGCCCAGAGAGTTCTGTCAGATCTGCATTTGCCAAAGCTCACAGACAAATTTGAGTGAAGCCTACTTTTAGGGGTTTTAATAACAATGCATTCAGTTTACATCAAGTAGCGTTTGAAGGTCTATGTGAGCTCCAGCTCTTGTGTGTATTTGTGTGTATACACTCACATACGAAGCCTCAGGGTCAGTGTAAATGGTACCATACTGTTTGGTTGAAAAGGTTACATGTTTATACCAATGAATGTTAGCAGCTCATTCAAATTCAAGAAACAATAACTTAAAATTAAAAAAACTGAAGAATATTAGACTTCCAGGAGCTAATAGAGAGGCGGCAGCGAAAGGAGATTTAGCTCCTCTTTCTTTGTTTTCTGTCTCTGTCCCACCATTTAAAAAATTATTAATATCTTACCCTCTCCAGGATGTTCCCAGTTGCTTCTTAGATGATATGAATGTTTGTTTATCAATATTGCATGCGAGTGTTCCACACTCTGTGTTACAGTCCAGTCCTCTGCTTTTCTTCCCAGTCCTCTCCCACTCCCAGGAAACACTTTATTAGTTAGTATTTTGGGTCTGATGCCAGAAGCCTAGTTCAGGTGTCTAGCTTGTGTAACATGACAGGACACCTAGGCTGGGCGGTAGGATGCCTCAGGCTTCCTCATGCATGGCTACGTGGCAGCTGTGCATCTTTGGGTATCCTTTTCCTCAGAAAGTGCAACAAGGAGACCCTCATAAAGCTGCTCTGGAAAAATAAATGAAGCCTTTCGTGCTGTACTAATCTCTGTTGAACACCATGATGTTTTAGTGCACTTGAAGGAGACTGCGTCTTTGCAATTAATCAAGCACTTAGTGGAACTGGTTTTCTTTGACTCATCCTTCTTTAGTGATTGCAGGGCTTGGGAATGGGATCTGGAAGAGAATCTCTCTTCATAGGAACAGGAGGAGCCATATGTTGGCTTCCTTATTTATGTTTTCAATGTTTCCCTTTGTCACCTTACTAGGGGCATTGTTATTTTGTCACCTAACTTTTGGGGAAAGCATCAGTGGACCTCCCTTTAATAGGAACAGAAGAGAGACATGGCCAGTTATAGAATAGAAGGCAAATGTGTGAGGAAGGCTTTGTAGGTCTGAGAGTTCTTATATGCGTGAGCATTATGGTGAGGGCAGGTCTTCTAGTAAGTGGGCTAAGAGATGGCATATATGAGATAGGGAGAAGAGAAGCATATCATGGCCTCCCTTTAGACCCCTTTATTCTGAATTTGACGTGCCCTGCCTGTGCTATGCGTGGTGCACCCACTGTCTTATTCTCTAGAACACTGGAGTGATTTGTTTGCATGCTCTGCAGTGCACAGTCCTTGGCCTCACTTTCAACATGCCACTGCATACGTTTTTGTTACCTGGCAAAATGCTATTTGTATCACTTTCTCCAAAAGTCTAGGTGTGGCCTAGATCAGAAGTAATCACTTCCTTCCCCAAGTTTCCACATCTTATTCTATGACTACCAAACTTCTGCTTGGTGTTCTGTGACCACCAAATTTGTTACTGCCCCTGCTTGCGTGCTGTTCCGTGTTGAACATGTAGTATACTCCAGGCTCTATGCTTTCTCATTATTATTTTATTGCCTTCTTATGCAGCCCTACAAAATGTTTTGTTTTTTTTTTCTTATAAAGAAATGGAAGCTTAAAAGAGGTGACATTCTCTGTGCTGTGTTTGGAGTATGTTTCTGAACTGAGGCTGCTGTCCATATCCAGCACGCGATGCTGCCTGCCCTTCTATTCACAGCACGTGTGGCACCAAGCCCCATATTACAGTGATACGTCCCTTCTTCCCTTATAAGAATATATGTAAGCTTTGCTTCCCCATTGAAGCAACAAGACATGGTTTCTCACTCGTCCTTATGTTCCTCATAGCTCATATTATGTTACTGTGTTTTTAGTAGGAACGGTTGCATATGGTCAAATGTATGTCTGTGTGTTCTTATGTATGCATATATATTTGGATGGCTGGCGGATGGCTGGCTGGGAGGGTGCACTGCTCAGTAATGCTTCTCCAAAGCAGTTTGGAATATGGTATAACTCAGTCTTTTGTTTTCTGAAATTTTGGTTCTTTCTTGCATTTCTGCCAATTCTCACTCTTTTCCTCTCTCCCCCTCTCTCTAAATATAATAACCTTTACCTTTTCTGAATATGCAAGAGAAGAAATTTTCCTTTAATATGTAAGTTAAAGACAAATCTTGGGAACGGTTTATGGACATTCAGACTTTTTAAAATAGAAGCTACATTTTTGCATCTGCTGTATGACACAAAGATGTATCCACGTATTTGTTAGAAGAATAAGATTTGCTTTTCGTTATATTTAATTTAAATGTTATCAGTACATTCTTTTTACTCTGAACATTTTTGTAACTTATGTCCGTTGTGTTTAAATGTTTATACATTTTAAAAGTTTATAACAATCCTTTTTCTTTTACTTTTTTTTTCATTTAGAATGCTCTATATTCTTAGTAAAATTCCCCAGATAGTAGGTAGCACAGGTTTTATTTCCAGGATGCATTGTTGATACCAGCTTATGCTCCATATTGCCTTGGCTCATGCTGTTTTTTGCTTTTAGCATGTGCTTGTCCCCAAGTTTCCTGCTTCCACAGTCTCAATTCGTTGCTTAGAAGTTGACCTCAAAGGCCAGGCCTAGTGGCTCACGCCACTAGTAACCCCAATACTGTGGGAGGCCGAGGCAGGTGGATCAGCGGAGGTCAGGAGTTTGAGACCAGCCTGGCCAACATGGTGAAACCCCATCTCTACTAAAAAATATAAAAATCAGCTGGGCACGGTGGCAGGTGGCTGTAATACTAGCTACTTGGGAAGCTGAGGCAGGAGAATCGCTTGAACCTGGGAGGCAGAGGTTGCAGTGAGCTCAGATTGAGCCACTGCACTCCAGCCTGGGAGAGTGAGACTCTGTCTCAAAAATAAAATACAATAAAATGAATAAGATAAAATAAGAAGCTCAACCACAAATTCAGAAAGTTAGAACTAATAGAAGTCACACAATCCATCTTGTTCTGGTGTAAATGTAAAAACTGCAGTCTAGAGAGTGTAAGTTATTTGTTCAGAGAAGCCCAACCTGCTCAAACGGAGTTGGCACTCAAATCTTTTCTAACTCTAGAGTTACCCCAAACCTTGTACTATATTCTAATGGCAAACCGTTCTTTACCAACTCATACCTTCATGCATTGCATACAATTCTTATGACAATGTGTTTTTTAATAGATTTGCTTGTATATGCACCTGTTTGCTGTAGTGTACTCTGAACTGTGAGAGTCAGGGGCTGCCTGACTCATGCCTTTTCCCTCAACAGCACCTAGCATGATACCTGACACATACTAGGAACACAATAGTGTTTGCAGAATGGAATTAATTGATGAAGCACAATAGTAATAACCTGCTCCCAGACACATGTTCTCCATTCTCAGCTACTTATTAGACACTATGGTTCTGCAACTTCAACCTACGTCTTTGAATTACCTTTCCTTCCTGTGTCCATTCTTTGAGGTTTTTAGTCCAGGAGTTGTCTAACCATTGCCACGTTGATGTTGCCAATTACATGTCTCACCTTGGTGTTACGTCTGTAATCTCTGGAGTTTGCTTTCTCATGTTTTTATTCTGACTGGGAAAGTAGAAAACTACTAACATGTTTTCCACAACAACTTATCTGTTGGGGATACCCATATTTATAATTTTCTTTTATAAGATATTCTGCTAATAATCATTTTCTAAAGGGCTTTGGCGCACTGAAATGTGGGGCATGCTTTTTTCCCTGTTAGTAGCTCTTTGGATCTCAGGGTCCTTTTATTTTCCTTCCATTGTTCTCATTCTTTTCACTGATTTTGTAACAACTTGTATTTTCATAGCTAACTTAGAATACCCCTATATTTCCACATGCTTTCTCTGTGTTCAATACTTTGTGGTGATGAACTCATATATGTTTTTAAATTAAATTTTGTCTTATTAGAGATTTTTTTTTTGTGTTTTAGTTCAATAGCTTTTGGGGAACAGGTGGTTTTTGCTTACATGGAGACATTCTGTAGCGGTGATTTCTGAGATTTCAGTGTGCCTGTCACCCGAGCAGTGTACACTGTAGTCTTTTATCCCTCACGTCCTTTCCACCCTTCTTCACCCTGACTCTCCAAAGTCCATTATAACATTCTTATACCTTTGAATCCTCATAGCTTAGCCCCCACTTATAAGTGAGAACATACGATATTTGGTTTTCATTCCTGAGTTACTTTTAGAATAATGGTCTCCAATTCTATCCAAGTTGCTGCAGATGCTGTTATTTCATTCTGTTTTATGGCTGAGTAGTATCCCATGGTGTATATATACCACATTTTCTTTATCCATTTGTTGGCTGACTTGTATTTAGAAGATTACAGCCAACAATCATGAAAAAATGCTCAACTCACTATCCAGGAAATGCAAATTAAAAGCCACAATGCGATACCACCTTATTTGT